TTTCTGTGGTTGCAATTAGAAATACATTATTGTATAATAGACATTTATATGTCGTCAACACTGGTTCACTTCCACAAATTAGATCCAGTTGCATTCAAACCAACTACATATAGTCCAAATGAACCATCCCTCCTTCAGGCAGACTCTAGTATGGTTCGATGTGCATGGCCAAGTTCACCAAAAATGACAAAATGAAATAAAAGCTCTAGTGTGATTTCAACAGTATCACTGTTAAAAAAAATCAGTAACATTTACAGTAAAATACTGGCAGCTATGTGGTTTCCAGAACTTTACCGTAAAAAATATGTTATCAGTGATTTTAGCAAATGGCTGCAATATAACAAAGAGTGAAAAATTTAAGGGGGTCTGAATACTTTCCGTACCCACTGTATATGTCATCAACACTGGTTCACTTCCACAAATTAGATCCAGTTGCATTCAAACCAACTACATATAGTCCAAATGAACCATCCCTCCTTCAGGCAGACTCTAGTATGGTTCGATGTGCATGGCCAAGTTCACCAAAAATGACAAAATGAAATAAAAGCTCTAGTGTGATTTCAACAGTATCACTGTTAAAAAAAATCAGTAACATTTACAGTAAAATACTGGCAGCTATGTGGTTTCCAGAACTTTACCGTAAAAAATATGTTATCAGCATTTTAGGTTTTACAGACTTAAATTCACTGTAATTCATTAACTGTATATATAATAATAATAATATATAATATACCAACCTATTGAAGTACTAATTTCAGTTTTGTACCATTGAAATTAACTGACAACCACCAAACACTGGTGGCGATGAGAAAGTCATATGATGAAACCTCATCACAAACAGCTTTTCTACAAGCTGAGGAGGGAAATACTTATATATAGAAGGTGCACAGTGTCATTCACACAAACACTAAACACCATCATGGTAACACACATGATACTGAAATAATGCAATAAACATTAATTTAACAACACTAGATGTCAGATAAAACCTTAATGTACACAACTGATATGAAAAAGTGTCATGCAGGGAATTCCGGGAATGTCAATTTACGTTTTTTCACTGTAAATTATATAATGACTTGTTATTTTTCACTTCCAAAAACCGTAATTTTACCAGTATTTTACTGTAAAATTACATTAAATGTAATCACAGTTATTCACTGTTTGTAGTTACATTAATGAGGAAAAAAAATGAACTTAAATGATTTTAGCAAATGGCTGCAATATAACAAAGAGTGAAAAATTTAAGGGGGTCTGAATACTTTCCGTACCCACTGTATATGTCATCAACACTGGTTCACTTCCACAAATTAGATCCAGTTGCATTCAGACCAACTACATATAGTCCAAATGAACCATCCCTCCTTCAGGCAGACTCTAGTATGGTTCGATGTGCATGGCCAAGTTCACCAAAAATGACAAAATGAAATAAAAGCTCTAGTGTGATTTCAACAGTATCACTGTTAAAAAAAAAATCAGTAACATTTACAGTAAAATACTGGCAGCTATGTGGTTTCCAGAACTTTAACCGTAATTTATCAGTATTTTACTGTAAAATTACATTAAATGTAATCACAGTTATTCACTGTTTGTAGTGTGGAAACTTACTGTTAACCAAGTAACAGGTTTTTACTGTAACCTTTTACTGTTAAAATCACAATCATTTTTACAATTTTAGTAATGTTTTGCTCTGTCATTTAAATATAAGTCAGCAGTTCTTGTGGAAAGAACAGGGAAAATTAATTTACAATGGTCTCTGTGTTTTTTGTCATGGCATGCAACATATATTAAAAGTTAATGAAGGGTTCAGCTGTGCAATAGAGTGCATCTTTTATAGTACTGCTTATTCCATTGGTGATTTACCATGTAGAGGCCTCATATATAATTAAAATTCACCTAATTTATGCTATAAATATATATACAATACTGTAACCTATACAAGTCAATTTATTGTACATCAGCCTTTTTTTTAAACTTTTTTTTTCATTCCTTTTCAGCCAGAAGACAACAAATAGATAAAAGTGCATCTGATTTCCTTGCCTGTCTCTCCTCAGCTCTTTGCTTGTGCTAGTCTGCATTATGACAGGAGCCCACTTTCCCCTCAGCTCTGTAATTGGAATGTGGGCTGGCAGTAGGTGTGAAGCAATGGGGTCTTGGAATTGGGTGGCAGCAGTCAGCCCTGGAGAACCTGTCAGAATTTATAGAAAGGCAAGCCATGTACTCCACTTTATTCAGAGGAAACTCTGCATTTTAATAGCTGTAAGCATTTCAGTAATTCAAGGTGGCGTCATTAGAGGCTTATTTATTCACTCTGGGGCTGAGACTGATAATGCCTCCCCCGTCAGCTGTGGCAGCTCCATCTCAGTGCCTCCCGCCGAGAAGAGAAGGGAGAATTAGAGTGGAATGGGCAAACATGACAATCGTGCAGCAGTTAATGAATTAAACTGAAAACAAAGCATCAGGTTGTCTTGAATAGGGCCTTGGGGTAGGGCTTTAGCGTTGTCTTGTTTTTCTCTTGTCATCATTACCCTACCGATTGAACAGGCTGAGTGGAAATAAACAGGTTAAAAATAACTATAGCCAAAAGCATTGAGGTTGACACTCGGAAAGGATTCATAAAAGTCAAATCACGGTCAGACCCTGAGCTTGAGATTAAACAACACGTGCTTTCATTATGAACTTTTAACATTATGATAGTTAAAAAAGCATGCCGGGATAGGTTGTTGACCTTTGCATCTGTTTATGCTGCCGTTTTCAGTGGAGTGTCGAGGCATGCTGGTCCTCTAGGCTTTTCAGCTACTTGAAAACACAGAGAGGGTTTCATTTCATCTGATAATATACTCTGTATTCGCAGGTGGTACACACAAGACCAGTAATGAAAGTCAAAACTGTCTAGGGCTGTAATGAGAGATATTCCTTCAATGCACCAAATCCTCTGGACTTTTTTTCCTGCCAACTTATAAGCTCAAAAAGCTCAATTGTTTTGACACAATTTTGCCATTATTGCATTGTAGAAGTAAAGAAGTGTTTGGGAAAAAAAAAAACTCATAAAAGACTTAATAAAAAAACTTCAAATCTCAAGATGGGCATTTACCGAGAAAGTTCTAGAAGATATGTCAAGATGATGAAACTGATGTTTCTTCACACATGTTCTGTTTAAAGATCTGCAGAGGCCCCACATCTCATTTAAAAGGCCACTACCTGACTCCTCAGGTGTTGACTAATAGGGTCTTGATCCTGTTGAAGGCAGATATGATCAGTAGATGAATGCAACATTTTCCATTTGTGCTATCGGTGATTGTGGACATTTGTCAACAGTGAGAGGAAGTTCAAGTAAACCTGCAGTGGAGAGCGTGACAGTCAGAGCAGTGCTTTCAAACAATGAAAGGGTTCATTAGAATTTCAACTCAACCATTTAGTGCCAGCAGATTACAAAAAGCAAGATAAGAAAGACCTAAACTGGAGATCAAATAGTGTAGGAGTAAATAATTGCTGTTTCTTTGCAAATGCCTGAATGTTTGGTGTCCTTTTGCTTGGAAAGAAGAAATAGCGCCATTTCTTTGAAAACTTGAAAGCTCACTTCAGTAAGTTTTAATAGGTTTTATTTTGTTTCTGTCAGTGTCTTGTTTTCTTCTTATTGATTTTCCCCAGACGAGCATTTCTTATTCCATAATAGCAATCATTCATGATTATATATATATTGTTTCTGGTTATGCATGGATGCAATGGGGAGTCTGCCTGTCAGGAGAACTATTAATTGACATTTCAATAAAATAAATGTGAATTACAACTCCGTTTACTGTTTGAGAAGAACATATATAAATAGCTCTTGAGAAAGTTAGGTCATTATACATCGATCTTCAGGAAATGCATGTTTAGAATATTATATTGGGAGGAGGGAGTCAAAGAATCAGAACCAGTCAAATGCAATGCACTTCAAACAACCTGGCACAGACTCACAGCCGGACCTCAACAAATGAACAAAGTGAATAGCTGATTTTGCAGACTCTTGACAATTTATTGCCTTTTTTTATAGGAAAGCAAAACCAGGAGGTCAGGCATTTATTCATAAACCCCTTGACAACTGACGGTGGTGGTTTTGAGAAAGAGTAGAGGCCCTGTAAGATGAAAGGTGGGATAAAGACAGATTTACAACTAGGTTTTTTCTTTTTTTTGTTAGTTTGTAGTTGAGTGTGAAGGTGCACTATGACACATAATATCGTGCAAAAGTAGCTAGTTCCCTTCTATATGTCTACCAGAAAAATACTGTAGTTTTATCACCAAAATGTTAACTAAAGTTCCATGAAGCATTCCAAATCAGACGTGTGATTACAAAAAAGCTTGACAATACCAATTGATTTCTTTCTTCTTATATTTTTAGAGGTCCAAGCAGGAAATTCTGAGAATCATATTATATTTGCCAGCATTATTATATTAGGGAAAATACCGAACCATGGTAGATAGTAGAAACGGCATTATGATGTTGTTATAGTTTTTGGTTGTACTTCATGAAAAATTGTACACCATCAGGTTCCTTGGCTTATGGACTATGCATACCCATATTATCATTTATTAAATCTTATTACACTTAGACTTTATAATTGCAGTTGTGAACTAAGCTAATCCTAGAATTTTCATCCTGTCCGAATGAAACCAGTAGAATAAGATTTTCTGGTCTCCCAATGTCAATAATTATCCAAAACATGTTGATATTTCAATTAAAATGGCAATCACAGGTACATCAGGTGTGGTCTTATGTAATTGGCTGTAATTCCTTAGTAAAATGACAGATTTCCATGGAATTTGGCACACATTCTTAGAACATCATTCTAAAAACAAGCGTTTCTGCTGTAACGATGAAAATGACTTTTGCGTTGGGTAGATCTGAAACTGTATGGGTGTTGTTGTTGTTGTTCACATACTTGACTTTCTAGATCCAAGCTTTTGGCATTGAGCTCATTTGCATCTTTGTGTATCTAACTGTTTGTTTTGTTTTACAGTTCCTCCCAAAATCTATGACATTTCATCGGACATTACAGTAAACGAAGGCAGCAATGTTTCACTCATCTGCTCAGCCAGTGGGAAACCAGAGCCCAAAATCTCTTGGAGACACATCTCCCCATCAGGTGAGTTCAAATCAGTTAAAATACATTACAATAAATTAGACAGAATATGAGATTGACTTTAAAACACAGTAGAAATATCTGTCCAAGTTGTTCAGCATGTTGGAGTTTAGAGGCGCAGAAGATTATGGTGATGAAACTAACATGATTCATTTTTAAAACCTCTATAAAGAATTGAGTTTAGGAAAAGGCTTTTAATCAATTATTGCTTCAATTTGCTGTTGTTCTCAGAAAGAATTCTTAGTTTAAGTCATCACTCTGCTGCAGGTTAAACAACATGTGAGGATACATCAACCTCATCTTTACCTTTCATAGTTTATATACTGTGTTAATGCATCAAAAAAAATTTTTGGCACATTTTCAAAGCGAATTGAAAATTCATTGCACAGCAGTATTTTTGAGTGCTTGTGAATTTTTATTGAAGTCAGCTTCACTTATCTTTGGACTGCCATATTTATTTATTTCTCCAGTGTATTTTGAGATTAAATTGCTTTTTGAGATTCTGATCAAAAGACTTTGAAGCGTCATGAAACCACTACTCACCAAAGGTAGGATACTTCAAATTATAGAAACACTTAAAACCAGACGATAAGTGCATCGGTAATTTAAAATAAAAAGTCCTTAGACAACTGTCCTGCATATGGTGAACTTTTACTTTTGGTCAACAGATTCAGTCTGGCCCAGATGTGACTGAAAGCCATTTGTCTGAACTATTCTTCTTCAGGCTAATTAACTTCTGTATGGGCAGAGAGGATGACAATGAGTAAGAGCCAGTGACAATAGAAACTTTTTTAAGATACTGCTGCCTCTGCCACTGAAGGATGTGATGTTCTGAAAAGATTCATGTACAATTTTTAAATATTCGCTGTGATATTGTCAAGGATTCACATGCTGACAGAGAGCAAAGTCAAAACGACACAAAAATATGTTTGAAACATGGTTTTACAAGGCTACAAAATCACAGTTATTCACTGTTTGTAGTGTGGAAACTTACTGTTAACCAAGTAACAGGTTTTTACTGTAGCCTTTTACTGTTAAAATCACAATCATTTTTTACAATTTTAGTAATGTTTTGCTCTGTCATTTAAATATAAGTCAACAGTTCTTGTGGAAAGAACAGGGAAAATTAATTTACAATGGTCTCTGTGTTTTTTGTCATGGCATGCAACATATATTAAAAGTTAATGAAGGGTTCAGCTGTGCAATAGAGTGCATCTTTTATAGTACTGCTTATTCCACTGGTGATTTACCATGTAGAGGCCTCATATATAATTAAAATTCACCTAATTTATGCTATAAATATATATACAATACTGTAACCTATACAAGTCAATTTATTGTACATCAGCCTTTTTTTTTAAATATATATATATATATATATATACATACAGTATATATATTAGGGATGCACGATATCGCGATGTGCGCATCCGCGATAGTCACATCGCAGGATGTGCGATGTTTAGTATACTGATCGTTATATTTATACTGATTGTTTACTTTGCTCACACACAGACACGATGTCTACACCGTACACGACAGCTGTACAGAGATACCCATTTTAAATAAATTTAGTAGCAGAGCTACTGCAAGGGATTTTCAGTGCTGGAAATCCATTTATCCTTTGTTGAAACTTCCACGTTGTCGCAGAGAGCACAGGTCACGATTGCTTAGTAACGGCAGACGCCACGAAAGCGCAAGCTCCCGAGCGCTTTGGAAAGAAGGAGAAAGCGGTGCGGCTGGCGTTTTCCATGCGTTTTTAGGCCGTTTTAGGTGAACGGCCCCAAAGTCTGTCTACACTGGATGCGACAAAGTGACCTTTGCAAATCATTTGAACTTTGTGTCAGTATGTCATAAAGAGAACGCGGCATCAGTTTACTGTCGGGGATTTGTTATGTCGCGCCGCATCCAGTGTAGTCAGTCACACAGCATCACTGATTATAATGGGTTCTATAGTATTTTGTTGCGTTGCACCGCTCGCATCCGGTGTAGACAGTGAGAGCCACGCAGATGCACGTGAACAATGAATTCTGTTCACTTCTGTGTCTATTTGTGCCTGAAATACTGTGCTCTGCAAGTATCCTTGTAAACACAGTTGTTTATGGCTTACTGTGCGTTCACACCGCCGCCATCGAGAGCGTCAAAAATCGCTCTGGCCGCCCTGCCAACAACGCTTTAGAAAGATTTGTGGACGCTCTGACGTAGATCTAATGCTTATCTTGTATTTAAAGGGGTCGCAAACACGCGTATTGATCTTGTGCTGACTGACCACAAGGAGGGTAACGTTACGATAACCTCATTAAATATTGTTGTTGACGAAGTATTAAGATCCTTTACCTCATAATGTATAAAGCACTAATACCACACTGTAAAAATACTCTGATACAAGTAAAAGTCCTGCATTGAAAATGTTACTTAAGTAAGTATAATCAGGTATAAACATTACTTAATGTAAGTATAATCAGGAAAATTGATTTAAAGGTTTAAAAGTGAACTGGGACTATTATACTATTATTTATTATGTCATTAAATTATTATTACTATAACGTTAATGCACATCAGCAACTCACCAGGAAGACCAACAATCTCAGACACCTTGGTCCACGCATAATTTTTTTTTTTAATGTCCCTGTATGCAAACAGGGACACGTCATAGATTATTGGGAAACCCGCCACAGCAATAATCAACCTCTCCTCCATTTTGCTTGGGAACTAATGTGATCGGAACCAAAGTTTACAGGACTGCGTTCTCTGGAATCCGCTGCTTGACGCTGCTCGACGCCGGCTCACAATGAAAATGAATGACTTCCGGCCACTTTTTTCTACGTTTTTTCCAATATTGTGCAGCCCTAATATATTTATATATATATATATATATATATAGGTTTTTTTTTTTTTTATTGTTTTTTTTTTTTATTGTTTTTTTTCCCTTTGGACAAGCCAATATGTTCAGACCGAATACATTATTACATACCATCACATATAACAGTATTTGGTGCACAAATGGCAGCACCGTGGTAATCGTCCGAGCTGTAATTACAGTAGCTCCTGGACAGTGATTTCCAGTAGTTCTTGAATGACCCTGGAGGAGGCTGAACCTGCAACCTAGATTTAATTGCTGAAACACTCTTAAGTGCAGTTGGCCTCATACGTTTCTTGTGTGTGTGTGTCATCAGACCTTTGACTTCTCTGCCTCTCATTATTGTTTAGAATATAGATTTGTCATCGATATAAATTGGGTAAATACTCTTAAAGACCTTTTAAAGATATTATGCAATCAAGACCTCTCAAAGTCCTCTGACTTGTAATGATGAACAGATTTCAATATGACACAAAGGTTTGGTCCCAAGAAGCATTTGTTGTAAATGGTAGTTGGCTGAGCAGCTTGATTGCATTAGTATGCTCAAAGGGATAGTTTTTAGATTTTTTAGAGTCTTGGATTAAACACTCAATTCTTATGGATTCATTTTACAATGCCTTTATAACCTCTTTGGATCTTTTAATATTTGATTACCTGGACTTTCAATGAATAGACAGAAACCTCTCAGATTTCATTAAAAATAGCAAAATTTGTGTTTGGAAGATTAACCAAAGTCTTGTGGGTTTGGAAGGATATGAGGGTGAGTAAATGATGACAGAATTTTCAGATTTTAGTGTACAACGTACAATATGGATGCACTGACATCATCTAAAAGGAAAATGTGTTTACAACTTTAGAAAAATAATTTCACAGCATGAATCCTTTATAATATAAATATATATTTGCATAGTCACATTTTACTATGGTACAGTACAGAATGAAACTGATAAAATGTCAGATTGCATAAATGCGTTAAGTAAATGTGATGCTGTTGAACATATTTAATGTCATTGATTAAATACAATAAAATCAACCTATAAATTCCACGAATTCAGTAATTAATGATATGTTACTAAGCTTTTCATAAGCAAAATGCTTGTTTTAGTTGCTGTCAATAATGTACGCTTCAGTTTCTAAAACATGTGCTAGAACCACACATTACGTACGATCATGTTGGATTGACTCGCAAGTAGACAGCACGCTCCCTCACCGCTGTAGGTTTTAAATGAGAGTTAAAGAACTTTAAATGAAAAGTTCTTTGTCTAAGCTTTAAATCACACTCTTTTAACACTTTCAGTACTCAGGGCATTTAAAATTGCTTTACAAACATGATTTAAAATGCTGTAGACTAGATTAAGATAGATCCTAAAGTGAGCCTTATACAGAGACGCATTGAGGTTACAGGGCGGCCTCATGCTCTCTGTACAGCCTGGTCCAGCACGCTTGATCCCAAACATGCTTTCATAAGCTTTTTCCATTGTGATTTAAGACCTCGGGATATAAGGAACTCTGACCTTTCAAATAGCTGACTATAACACTTCAGATTTGATTTTTTTCCCCTCATATGATAAGGCTACAGAGAAGTGTTCAATTGTCCTTTGTCAATCCTTTGTTCATGCCTCTGCCTTCCGAAATTGTCTTTACTCTGGTTTATTGTTTCCTGAACAATAGCTCTGTACTCGGCGCTGACAGTCTGTCTAAACATCGCCAAATGGTTTCAATACAATGACCAGCTCTTAAAAAGTGCTTGGACAGATATTCAACAATTGTTTTGGGGCACTTTGGGACAATGAGAAGGCTATCAGGGTTAAGGTGAGATACCGGGAATAGAAAAGTGGAGGCGGTTCAGGTGCATGTGCGTTTTGTGTGTGAGATCGAGCGAGCGAGTATGTGTGGTGGTTGAATGATGGTTGATGGTTCATTGCTGACAACTCAATGAATGCCTGGGGGAAGCCTCTCATAATGCAACATTTGGGCTGCCGCAGTATTCTCTCACGGGTTAACGGAAGAGATATACAGAGAACTGCCATCATAGCCCATAATGTATTCTTCACCAGCGCTCATCATATCAGCAGCAGGCAGACCTCAAGGAAATGTACTTTGTGCTCTCCACACAATGTGGGAAAGTGCTTACTGTGACTGCACTTAACACAGAGCAATGTGGAATCCTAGATTAACCTTGCTGTGATTTGGCTAATTTGGTTGGAGTGACATTTCCCAGTGGCTACGACGAGTCTGTCTTGAGCTTTTCAAATAACTCTTAACATGCACAATACGGGAGGCAGTCGAGATTGCGGATGATAAGGGGCAAGTTTACACTGAATACATTTCAGGCACGTAATCGGTGTCCCTTAAGCCTTTAAAATGCTCCAGTTTGTGTTTTTTTGGTTTATAGCAAACAAGTTGGTTGACATAACAAAGGTTGATTTCACAAAGGGATCCATTCTTTATTAAATGTCACTAAACCATGGTAATTTCCTATTTTGGTGTAATCAGTAAGATAAATGATGATTCATTGTGAAGTCTCTTTTAGGAAAAAGAAAATAAATCACTGACGTAAGGGAATTATGGGGTGAGTTAATCACTGATAAAGATCCCTCTGGTGTTTAGCTCGAGGAAGAAATATGGTAGGTTGTAGTCAGTGTTTGTTAATTTTGTAAGTTTGCCTTTTACCTCTTACCTTGGAACAGTTGTTTTATTAATGTGATGATTGTCATCGCTGTGATTTAAAATACACAGTTTGCCTTGAAAAAGTATACACAAATAAATGTGTGTGGTTTTCATTTCATTAGGTGCAAAAGCTCAAACCAAGTGATATCTGTAAATAAATGGCTTTTCTCAGAAACTACACTTTTCTTGGCTATTTTTGTAATATTGTTTGACTAACTGGACTCAAGGTGATTTTTAGTAGATGGTTGAAGCCAGTTTTCTTCAGGTTCACACAGGTGTTCTAGCACCTTGTTTAAATGATGTTATTTAAAAAAAGATATTGAGAAATGTTTTGCTTAAAGTATGCACGTTATTTTCATTTAAATATAAATGCCACTTGGTTTGGCATTTTGCAGTCTAATGCAATTGCATTTATACATTTTGGTGCCACTGTATATCAGAAGAGTGTTATTTTAGTATTTTGTTTTTATGTATTATTTTTCACTTTAGTTTTAGTCATTTTGTTATGTGGATTTTTATTTTTTATTTTTTTTAAATTATATTTAGTTTATTTTTATTTTAGTAATTATATAACTTCAGCTTTAACTTGTTTTGTCATTTGCCAAGGCAACATTTCTGATTTTCATTTTTTTATACATGAACATTTTCATACCAAATACTTCCTAAGAAAAGCATGCAATATACTGCTTGGCTTAAATCTTATATTTGGTGTTTTGTCAAAGGCTGTTAGCTGTCATGTGAAACACCATGTAGTTTTAATGGTAGGGGAAAAAAGGTTATGGGTGAACAATCTCATACTATTCACTTCCTGATGTCCTATTCATCTTTGTACAGGCAAATATGGGTGGTTTTGCATGAATATGTTTGATACAATTTATCCTATTTTACAGTCTTTTCCTCTATTCATTTGTAAAGCATTGGGAGCCAAATAACACCTTGTCAGCTCAGATACACATCTTGATAACGCCAAAGAAAACTATTTTGTTCAATTGTTCAGTTTGTTACCTGCTATACAGATGTAATTGTTTTCATGCAACACACACATATTTATGCAAATTACAAAAGGATTGAATAATCTTTGAGCTCTTGTGTTTCTATCAGTGTTGCAGCAGCTAGTCAGAATTATATTTGTGGAAGGATCAGACCAAAATTTAGGATTATGAGAGAAGTAACGATGTTTGATTTGTGAAAGAATCATTCTTTAAAGTCAGATCCTTTCAATTAATCAGTTGATCTAGTTTACAAAAACGATCTGAATGATTCTTTCTTGACTCAGATTGATCTGGTTCTCAAGCTCAACTGGCTCAATAATCTGGTCTCAGCTGTTAACAGCTCACTGGACAGCGATATCAGCAAATAACAACATACATATCCATCTGTGTGTCATACAAATCTATCAGATGGCTTCAGAAGATTTGCAATATAGTGAGTAAACCATTTTTTTTTAATATTTGCTTTTTTTTTGTTTTGAACCTCCAATCCCTGTTTATTCTTTGTAACTGCATGGTAAAATGCGGCCAGAAAATAATGCAGGTTTGGAACAACGTGAGGGTGAGTACATGATGACAGAGTTTTCATTTTTGGGTGAACTATCCCTTTAAATCTTTCTTAATGTCAGATCTTGAAGCTCTATGATGCTTTACAAAAGACTTGGTAAAAACACACCCCTCCTAAAGCTTTTTTTTTTTTGCATCGCTCTGCATGCTTTTTTTATTCTGTGGGGGTTTTGCTGAGTCAGAGACTTCTCATCCGTATACCAGGATTTACCTCTCTGTGCCATGAGAAAGATTCACCTCACTGTAAAGTGGGATATAAATAGGTTTCACTGAGGAATATTACAATGAGGTTGTATCCTGGTCTAGGTAACCTGGGGAGGTTTTCAGTCCAATAGAAGCGTGGCAGCCCCACGCTGTGCTATTGCCTCTCATTACTCAAGGAACTCAAGTCATATTTGTCATATTGGCACAGTTCTGATTTCCTCACAGTATTTGACGCCAACAATATTCTTCCCTGTGGGAATCAGGCTCACAGGGGAGTCTGCAAAAGCAATTATGTGCCTTAATAAAGCTTTTTTCAGTTCTCTGGGTGCACTTGGGCTTCTTTTCCTGGCTGTTGAGACTCAATGGTGTTTGTACCTTTAAGCATTTAGCCATTAATTAATACATGCCTGCAGAAGAACGTTTCTGAAGGATTGTGCTTGTTTATTTTCTTATGTTCACAGCCAGGAAGTACGAAAGCGGGGAGTATTTAAATATCACAGGCATCACTCGGGATCAAGCAGGGGACTATGAGTGCGGTGCCGAAAACGACATTGCTTCACCCGACACCAAGACCGTGAGAGTCACAGTCAACTGTGAGTACCATATACTGTACTTCTTCTTTTGTTTCTGCTTGTTTACTGTCAGACATTGTAGAATCACCTGCACAATGACATTGAGTCTTTTTTTCCCTCTTACTGGAGATACCAGCTCTGTTCCATAACCTAGTGAGGCTGTCAACTGTCTACTGCATCCTAACTGAAATGGGACTTTGGAAGTGACCGATTTGAAAAGCTCTACATAGGCAGCAACTCCATGAATTATATAAATAGCAGTCTTCTTGAAAAGCACACAGGAAACTTGCCTCGCAGGTGATTTAAATAGAGTGTGGTGTTAGCATGTTGCTAAGCTAATAAAATGTGTTGAAATCAGTTTTAAATTACATTGAACTATTTTATCGATACTGAATTAAATATAAAGAGTTTTTTATATAACTTTAAAGAGTAATTCTATATTATATAATTATAATATTAATAATGTAATGTTATTTGTTATTATATTGTTCATACTTTAGTTTAGGGACCAATTCTCACTATTAACTAACTATGTCTTTTGCCTCAATAAACTCCTAATATGCTGCTCATTAAATTTAAGTATGAGGTAGGATTAAGGTATGTAAAATATGGTAATGCAGAATGAGGCATTAATATGTGCTTTATAAGTACTAATAAACAGCCAATATGCATGCTAATAAGCAACTAATTAATATTGGTCCTTAAAATAAAGTCTTACCATTATATTTATATTAATATAATTATAGTAATTATAGGTAATTATAGTTAACTGAAACTAAAACCATAAAAAAACATTTTGCTACTTAATAAAATAAGCATTAACTGAAATAAAATGAGATATTAAAAAAACTTGTTTTGCTGGTTGCCAACATTTCTCATTTTTATTTGGTTATTTTATTAACTTACTAAAATAACTTAAACTAAAACTGAAATAAAAATGAATAAAGACATAAATTAAGACTACTAAAAGTACTTAAAATTACTAGAAATGACCAAACCACATAACAAAATTACTAATATTATTAATAAAACCTTTAATAGTATCTTAAGTATATGTCAAGTACTAAAATAATGCAAATTATATATAATTATATAACAAATTATTTTAGAATTTATAATCCACATTTCTGTCATCCATCTTGTTTCAGCTCATTGCAGTACATTCTAGAATTGTTGTCTTCACAAAGAATACATGCAGTGCTGCTTTCGAATTTGGCCTTCCGTAGGCTGCTCACTAGATTTTGAAACAAAACTACAGTCTTACTTCTATATCTCCAAGGTAGGCTGGGGTGAAAATTAGAATAGAATTCATGGTACTGGAGTTTCTTAATATTTAACGAGAGAATTCCCTTTTTTGTCTGGGATGGGATGATTAATTTTCAGTAAGGAATGGTCTCAGTGTTATACGGAGTCTTCTGTTATGCAGGTAATGAGTCTCTCAAAGTGTGAAAAGACAGTAATGAGTGCTCCAAGCATTAATGAATTATACTGACTTTACCCATCATGCTCATAGTGAGGATCTGCCTCCCACCAAATACAAGGGGAAGGACACTTGACAGTTTCTTTTCCTCCTCTTTTCTCTTTTAAGTCATTTTGTCTCATCTGCGGTCACAGGGATCATTAATCTCTTTGTCTCTGTATATACCATATGCTGAATCACGGCACAGCGAGAGCACATAAATCAGATAGGCCAACACTCAACACCAGAATAAATGTGGAGTTCAGACCATCAAACGCCAGCTCCCTTTACTATCATGCAAATACAGACTAATGGGCAGATAACCACTTGGAAATGTCAAGATTTGAGCGGGAATGGCTAGATGACAAGGATGAAGTCATAAGTCATATCACATCTCCTCCCTGTCGATTGTATTGACACTCTCTAATGAGGAGTGAATCTGAGAAGATAGAGGAACGGCTCAGTGCTGAGTCTGCTGAGCCGCAATTCTGCAGCTTAATGACCATTTTCAATGAGCAATCCATTTATTTTATAGCCACTATTTTTGCGCTATTCTGCATATGTTTGAGTTTATCGGGTTGGATTAGGGGCGAGGGGTCAGGGTTTGTTTGGTTAGCATGGCCCAGTTAGCCCCTGTGGGTAGATGTCTATCTAGGGGCATCTTTCTCCATTAACAGCCATTCAGATGTAGTCATTGTATTCTGATGAACTGGCATTATTACTTTATTATTACTTATTAATTATTCCAAAATTATATATACAGTGGGTACGGAAAGTATTCAGACCCCCTTAAATTTTTCACTCTTTGTTATATTGCAGCCATTTGCTAAAATCATTTAAGTTAATTTTTTTTCCTCATTAATGTACACACAGCACCCCATATTGACAGAAAAACACAGAATTGTTGACATTTTTGCAGATTTATTAAAAAAGAAAAACTGAAATATCACATGGTCCTAAGTATTCAGACCCTTTGCTCAGTATTTAGTAGAAGCACCCTTTTGATCTAATACAGCCATGAGTCTTTTTGGGAAAGATGCAACAAGTTTTTCACACCTGGATTTGGGGATCCTCTGCCATTCCTCCTTGCAGATCCTCTCCAGTTCTGTCAGGTTGGATGGTAAACATTGGTGGACAGCCATTTTTAGGTCTCTCCAGAGATGCTTAATTGGGTTTAAGTCAGGGCTCTGGCTGGGCCATTCAAGAACAGTCACAGAGTTGTTGTGAAGCCACTCCTTCGTTATTTTAGCTGTGTGCTTAGGGTCATTGTCTTGTTGGAAGGTAAACCTTCAGCCCAGTCTGAGGTCCTGAGCACTCTGGAGAAGGTTTTCGTCCAGGATATCCCTGTACTTGGCCGCATTCATCTTTCCCTCGATTGCAACCAGTCGTCCTGTCCCTGCAGCTGAAAAACCCCCCCACAGCATGATGCTGCCACCACCATGCTTCACTGTTGGGACTGTATTGGACAGTTGATGAGTAGTAACATTAATGAGGAAAAAAATTAACTTAAATGATTTTAGCAAATGGCTGCAATATAACAAAGAGTGAAAAATTTAAGGGGGTCTGAATACTTTCCGTACCCACTGTATATAATTATGTACGTATATATTTAATGTTTTTAAAATAAGTAGTTAAGTTCACCAAGGCTACATTTATTTGATGAAATATGATTTGATATAATTTGTATTCTGATGAAATGGCATTTTTACATGTAAAATTATATATATATATATTTTTTTTTTTCTTTTCTTTTCTTTTTTTAAGAGGTCTCTTAAACGCACCAAGGCTACATATATTTGATGAAATAATAATTTGATGAATATAGAACAAAAACTTCAATATTGTGAAATATTATTAAAATAACAGTTTTCTATTTTTAATATATTTTAAAATGTAATTTATTCCTGTGATGACAAAGCTGAATTTTCAGCATCATTACTCCAGTCGTCAGTGTCACATGATCCTTCAGAAATCACCTAATTGAATGATTGGCTGTTTGGCTATTATCAGTTATTACTGGTGCTCAATTATTAGTAATGATTGTTATTATCAATGTTGAACACCGTTTGTGCTGCTTAATAATTTTGTGGAAACCATAATACATATTTTCAGGATACTTTGTTTAATGAATGAACAGCATTTATATGAAATTTTACAAAAATCTTTTGTAAGAGTATAAATGTCTTTTCTGTCACTTTTGATCAATTTAATGCATCTTTGCTGAATAAAAGTACTACTTTTAGTATTTTTTTAATATTACTTGCCCTAAACTTTTGAATTATTGTGTATTACAGTTTCCTCAAAAAACATGAAGCAGCACAACTATTTTCAACATTTGATGGTAATAAGAAAAGTTTCTTGAGCACCAAATCAGCATGATTTAGAATTATTTCTGAAGGATCATGTGACACTGAAGACTGGAGTAATGGTTGCTGAAAATTCAGCTTTGCCATCACAGAAAGAAATTACATTTTAAAATATATTAAAATAGAAAACAATGATTTTCAGTTGGAATAATTATTTACAAAATTACTGTTTTATTGTATTTTTCAACAAATAAATGCAGCCATTGTAAACATTAGAGACTTCTTTCAAAAGCACTAAACAAATTGTGATTAATTAAAAACTGTTGACCGGTAGTGTATAGAAAGCAGAGAGACAGAGATAATTTTTTTTTTTTCGTATTTGTTATTTTATTTCTTTTTCTTTTTGGGACTGTGTTTTGTGGTACCATCAGCCAGTCAGCATTGTCATGACATTTTCCTGTGGCTCTGAAGTGATTAGTCACATGGCATTTACACAAGTGGATGGCTTTCTCCAGGTATTATAGACCACCCAGAACCGGTTGCTTCACAGTGATTTACAGTGACATCTGATGGAAGCAGTAACAGCAGATCCTGTTCCCTTCGCAACATTCTGTTGTAGGGCAGAAAAAAGGGATAGACATAATCCAAATGTATCAATCAAAGCACTTTTACCCACTACAGCTGGGTAAAAAATGAGCTGGAATGGAGGTGCCAATGCTGGATTTAGAAGAGAAGTGTTATCTCATCATTATGTCTCAAAATAAAAGTGAGAAGGATGCAAGAGGACTACTCTGCCAGTGCCCATTGCCTTGCGTAAAGAAATCCTCGATGTGAAATGTGCAGAGCTAATAGGATTTTATTCAACCACTTTGCCAGTCTAAAAAAAAATTCCCTGCGTTATAGTGTAGTAATATATCTTGTACTGTATTTCAGGATATTACCAATGTAATGTGGTGGTTATGACTTCATTGCGTTTTTCAAGTAGTATTATTCTGAGTTTGGGTTGCTAATTAATTTCAAACAGGCTAGTTGTAAATAAAGTCTTTCACAAAATCGTGTAAAAATCAAGTAACATTTTGCATGCACAGAACTATTAATGTGACATCCGCGTCATTTTCTTTGTATTTGTAGTTTTATTAGCCTTACACTAATGCAGATACTGTGACTCGACTCTGACATTTCAAGGGTAATCAGCGTAATTAAATACACGCTAAAATAATCCGGTTTGAAAATAATTACAGCTTTTAGGTATGTGC